TTCTCAAGAAGCATACTCTGAGATGGAAATTAGTGGATAGAGTGATTTTGGGTTATGTGCTTGGGATAACACCTAGAGAAGGGGGTGAAACAGGATTGGGTAGATGGAAGAAAAAAAAAAAATTTTAAAAGCCGTGATATCCCCTTAATGTAGCTGTTCTCACCCTGTGTGTCGCGACCCCTTTGGTGATCGAACGACCCTTTCACAGGGGTCGCCTAAGACCATCCTGCATATCAGATATTTACATTATGATTCATAACAGTAGCAACATGACAGTTATGAAGTAGCAACGAAAATAATTTTATGGTTGGGTCACAACATGAGGAACTGTATTTAAAGGGCCAGAAGGTTGAGAACCATTGCCTTAATGGGAATCTCCAGTGATCCTACAGGGATTTGTGAAGATGGGATGACCCTTCAGAGCTCTCCCAAGTGCAGTGAGAGGGCTGAGTGTTTATACCCCCATATCTGCCGGTCATTTAATGCAGATGACACCGATACTGGGTGATGCCTTGGGCAATACAGCTCTCTGCACCTGGGACAACCCCCAAGGAGGCCCCACAGTAGAGGGCTACCAGCTGGCAGCCCTAAGAACACATCTTTAATCCCTGAAGTCTCTTTATTCTTTGTTTAAGATAATACGATTAATAGCTACCATTTAATAAACATTTCTTATGTGCCAGGCTAGCAATCCTATGAGACAGGTATTATCCATTTCCCACTAGGCAGATTAGTGTCCTGAGATTTAGTGGATTAAATTATTCCCATATCCACCTAAAAATTAAATGGCAGAGCTAGGATTTGAATATAGGCTTGTTCTAGAGTCTTCATCCTTAGTTACTGTAATAAGATTTAAAAAAAATAAATGAGTTCAGATATCTACCGAGAAGCCATCCTCGGATGAAAAATGTAGGTGCTCAGGAATACATTTAGTGGCATGATTATTCATGTGCATATTACTGTTTCATAGATAAGGGGTGATAATTTAATGATGGTCCCATTTCTTAGTCTGACACCTGGAGATTTTCTCTGGACAAAGTGCATGTCTTATGAGTTTTTCCATGTCCCACAAACCACTCATGCTTTGTTACAGAGCCGAGCAAATGTGTACGTCGCTCATTCTCCTGCTGGGACATCTGTGCAAAATATCCTGCACTGGAGCCAGGTAGGAATGATGTTGAATTTGTCCTTTTCCCTCAGTAAGTATCTGTGGGCAAGAGTGCCCTTTTGATAAACCAGGGGTTATTTCATATTTCTTATGAGATGAAATGTAATCTAGAACATTGAAGCTTTTCAGGAGATGGGAGGGAAGGATTGGGCCACGGAAGTCTTTAGTAGACCTTAAAACTGTGAGGGCAGATGCTCCCATTGAGATCTTTCTCTGTCTCTCACCACCTCAAAATGAGGCTGGAGAAGATAATCGGAGGCTCCTCCAGCAGCCCGGTCAAGTAGTAACAAAAGTGAAAGGCAGGACCAATTATCCAAAGAGGCCTCACAGGAGGGAAAGACTAACCTGCAACACAGGAGGGCAAGTCTTGATCACCAGTCACATGAACTAAAGAAGGCAGAGCTGAAGTAAGACATTCGTAATGGATTCAAGGATAATGTGAATGCGAATCATCCTTTTGCCAGTGAAGAAGCACTGAACCTAATAATATTGCTCATTGTAGACGATACAATGGAGTGACCCTGATTGATTGTGGAAATAAGGATGGATATAAGGACAGAGCTAGAGCATAACTAACCTTGGATTCTCATGTATTAAAAATACCACTTTGTTTTTTTAAAAAAAGGGGGGGCTGTTAACTCAAGCAGAGAGTTTTAAGAATAGTGATGGCATCTATAGATCATAAGTATTGGCCCAGCTGCTTTCTGTTTTTGTAACAACTTGGAGCCTAGTGAAATTGTTCTTGTACAGTTGTTATATGAGAGAGAGAGAGAGAGAGAGAGGAGAGAAATATTTTATAATTAAAACTAAAGAATTCTGAATTGTATTAAGTGTCGGTCACCTTCTCGCAGTCACTAGGGAGAGCTTTCCCCTGTAGCCCAAGAGTTGAGCAGATACCATCCATGAATGCAGATGCACCTCTTGGAGTTGTATGACATGGGGGCCAAGTATGTCTGCAGTACAAGCATTTTCTCCCGAAAGGGCCTTCCTCTTGCCTTTGTACTTCCTTGAAGATTATCCTACTGCTGAACAGAAGCCTCAGTCTGCTCTCTGCTTCCCCCACAACTGCAGACTTGGGAGCACATTTCCACCCCTCCTCCCACTCTTTTCCAGCAATACGTTTGAATGCCATGTACATTTTTGTTTCCTTTTAGGCAGCGAATTCTGGGGAACTCCGGGCTTTTGACTGGGGGAGCGAGACTAAAAATCTGGAGAAAGGCAATCAGGTAAGAAAACCAATGCCACCTTTTTGAAGTGCACGGCCAGGTAGGTCTAATGGCAGTTTACTGTAGAGATGGAAATAAAATATGACTATGCGAGTGGAAAATAATAGTCGGGGTTTGACTCCATTTGAAAACGGGGATGTTCACAGCGTGGTCACAAGGCCTGCTGCCTTCACAATGGAGTAGGAGAACTTCTGAGAGGCTGCTCCCATGAAGGGGGCCCTGGGCTTCGTAGGAGCGAGGTGGAGTGGGTTTAGAGAAGGGAGGAATGTGGTCTCTGGTGGCTACTATTACAAGAAGCCTTTCTTGATAAGAAACCCAGAAATCACCAATGAAGACGGCAGGGGTGAGGTTGTTTGTATAGTACAATACAAAGGCCATTCATCTGTGGTTGCCAGAGACAGGGGTGAGGGGTTGGGTGGGAAATGGGTGAAGGGGGTCAAAAGGTACAAACTTCAGTTATAATATAAATAAGTCAGAAGGTATAATGTACAGCATGGAGACTCTAGATCAGCCGTGGGCAAACTACGGCCCGCGGGCCGGATCCGGCCCGTTTGAAATGAATAAAACTATTAAAAAAAAAGACCGTACCCTTTTATGTAATGATGTTTACTTTGAATTTATATTAGTTCACACAAACACTCCATCCATGCTTTTGTTCCGGCCCTCCGGTCCAGTTTAAGAACCCATTGTGGCCCTCGAGTCAAAAAGTTTGCCCACCCCTGCTCTAGATGATAATACTGTGTTGTGCATTTGAAAGTTACTGAGAGTCGACCTTAAAAGTTCTTATTAGAAGCAAAAAAAATTGTAACTACGTGTTGTGATGGATGTTAACTAAACTTATTGTGATAACCATTTCACAATATAATACAATCTTATAACTCAATTTAAAAACCTTGCTGCATAAAGAAAAAGATCATTAATTGGTGAATGAGGATTACTGGGTTAGTCTTGCCTCTACACCAGTGATGGCGAACCTATGACATGTGTGTCAGAGGTGACATGCGAACTCATTTTTTTGGTTGATTTTTCTTTGTTAAATGGCATTTAAATATATAAGATAAATATCAAAAATATCAATCTTTGTTTTACTATGGTTGCAAATATCAAAAAATTTCTATATGTGATACGGCACCAGAGTTAAGTTAGCGTTTTTCAAAATGCTGACACGCCGAGCTCAAAAGGTTCACCATCACTGCTCTACACTATAAACTTGTGTGATCATGGCTAGGCCACTTTGATTCTTCAGACCTCAGGTTTTTTTATCTTTAAACATTGGACTAGATCATTCTTAAGAGTTCACCCTGGTCACACATATAATGATTCTGTAATTTGCAAGTAAAAACATTTTTTTCTATTTTAAAAAATATTTTTATTGATTTCAGAGATGAGGAGAAAGAGAGAGAGAGAGAGAGAGAATGAGATGATGATGATGAGAGAGAATCATTGATTGGCTACCTCCTGCACAC